TCTAGACAAAATTTCATCACAGCATGAAAGAGCATCACAAAATTAGTAATATTCCAAAGTTTCGTTGCGAAATGTTGTAAAATGCGGATAATATAGCCTTGCGAAATTTGCCGTTTTTCAGTCATTTTGTATTACAAACGGGAAATTGACATCCGATTCGGGTGTTGGGGCTGCAATTTCCCGTTTGTAATACAAAATGACTGAAAAAGGCAAATTTCGCAAGGCTATATTACCCGCATTTTACAACATTTTGCAACGAAACTTTGGAATATTACTAATTTTGTGATGCTCTTTCAAGCTGTGATGAAATTTTTGTCTAGATCAGAATTTAGTCTATAATGCAAATGCTCCATTGTAGTAAAGATAATTTAGTTTAGGCTAAAGTAACATAAGTAAGCGTAATACTTGATGTAATCGGTCACTGAAAAACCCTAAGCTGAATAATAATGTAAAGGCCATTTTCCATTACAGTCGCTTTACCCGCGCGGGCGGAGCGAATACAAAGGCCGGTTTCCACTGTAGCCGCTTTGCCCTTGCGGGCTTTGGAAATCTGCTCACGCGGGCGTGACGGGCGTCAAGAACAATGAACGCTTCGCCCGCGCGGGCAAAGCGAACGTTAATGAAAAACGGCCTTTACTCAACTTTCTCTGTAGTTGCCTAACATGTGCATTGTTTGTCCGCCTGAATGCTCGCGGACACGCCATGAAAGTAGAACTACATTCAACTTTCTTGGCGTGCCCGGGCGACTGATTTTTCACGTGATTTATAAAATTGGTCGCTCCGCCCGCGCGGACAAAGCGACTGCAATGGAAAATGGCCTTAATGTAAGATCCACCCCCCCCCCCTCCTTCACAGTGTTCACCTTCACACAACAGAGTCAAGAACCAGTGATCAGAATGTTCCATTGTCTCGAAAATCCTGCTTGTCCCCATACCATTCTTTTTGTGTCAACTTATTCTTTGGAGGCTCTGCCGAAACTCTTTCAGAGAAGGGTCCACTAAAACCCCACCCCCCGTTCCCCTCGCACACACTTTTTTAGCCCGAGCTTAATTTCAAACCAGTTAACCGAGCTGAACTTTAAAAAACAAATTAAATTCTAATTTACAATAATTCTTTTCATCAAATCACACATTCGATTTGTCAACTAAAAATTACAAGAAGGCGAAGGTCATTCTTACATTTCTGCTACAATGCAATGCTACATCGTTTACAAATCATCTACACCCTACAAAATCCACTATATTATAACATCATCAAATTATTGATAAAAATATCCCTAACAGATGCAAAGATATATATTTATAAACTACAAGGACAATGTTTACGCAATACAATAATTAATGGGATTGAATCTATAAATGACGATATAAGGGCAAAAATGAAAAAGCACATTCATCGAGTTTTGCACCAGAAAGTTAGGTGCTGGCGTAAGGTGGGGGGCTTTCCTTTGGCGTTTGTTTCGTGGCATCATCATAATTTGGCAGCAATGTCTAAATAACAGAAAAATGATCAGTTAAGGTGGCTCCATATAAGGTTGTCCACGAGCAAAGCGGAAAAGTCGAATACGAGCGCGAAAGGCTGCTGGGAATCGCTAACAAATTAATGCATTTTCAAAGCGATTCCCAGCAGCCTTTCGCGCTCGTATTCGACTTTTCCGCTTTGCTCGTGGACCACCTTAATTGAAATAGCTGTATATTACATTTGGACCGAAAATGGCAGCAATTTCCGCACGCAGTACAAAAGTATACAAAATTTGCAAACTTTGCAAGGCTATATTTTCCGTATTTTATAACATTTCGCAATTTTACTCATTCTAGTATGCTCTTTCTAGCTGTGGTGATTTATTTGCATCTCTTCGCCTAGTTTTAAAATTAGTCTATAATGGGAATGGTCTATTTTGACTTTTTCCGGCGAGGGCTGGTACACTATACAGTTATTCCTTGCGGTTTTACCTCGAAGTCACTGTCACTGCAGCAGGAATGCACGACTTCATCTTCGCTCAATTTTCTCGCACGGATGACAAACAGTTTGTAACAAGTCCACACACAGTTAGCGAGATATGCCTGTGAAAAAAAACGCCAAGTATTATCATGAAAAAGTGGAATGAAAGTTTTGAATATAAAATCAACGAATTACTGAGGAAATGAAATCGCATGTAGATACAATAGGGTGTAGTACCTTGATGATAAGAAAAGCTGCAAAGGTTGCAATCAAACATCGTTGATCAACTTTATCCAATCTCATGTACCTGTAATGATGGGAGACCTATACAAACAACAGCAAATAAAATTTAGTGCTTTGTTTTTACATTTTTGAACGAGAGTCAAATCACTGATTTAAATCACGTACACCCTCCGAAAAATCACAAAAAAATCAAAATAAAAATCAACAAAAAATTTAAAAATCACAAAAAAATCACATGATTTTTTTATCTCGTATGCTTTTTAGGAGTGATTTTAAAAAAGAATGGGGAAAAAAAGTTGTGAAAAAAAAATCCGTGAAAAATAAAAAAATCACAAAAAAATAAAAATCACATGATTTTTTTATCTCGTACACTTTTTAGGAGTGATTTAATAAAAGAGAATGGGGAAAAAAGGTTTGGAAAAAATAAAAAAATCTGTCAAAAATCACACAAAAAAATCACATGATTTTTTGATCTTGTACACTTTTTAGGTCTGAGTGATTTGCCCCTCAGTTTAGAATTTAGCCTTTTGTTCGTATGATTTAATGCTTCATATACATTAGTGAAACAAGTGATGAAGAAACTATTTTAAGGCAAAAAAACTTACCCTGCTTCTCCAGACAACAACTTGATCGTGATTCGTCATTGCGCCAAATAACAACAAAATGAAAACACAAAGATCAAAGACTTGAAGACAGAAGAATGGCAACAGATAGTTTGGGCGACGCTAAAGAGAAATAATTTCACAGAATAAGATCTCACAACGCTATCAGCTCCGCAAGCTCAAGTTCTCGACATTTATTTCAATCAATCAACAACTTTATTTGGGTTTCAAAATCTTCTAGCAAACGAATGGTTCACTAATAATACATGTGGTTTCGGTTCCCGACCGACCCTATTTTTTTCTGCTGACCCTATTATTTTTTCAACGCTATTGACCGTGCGATTCTATTTTCTCTGGGTGGTTGCAGGCTGCTCATACACTGTGCCAAAATGGGGTCTGTTGTCACACTAATTATTGAACCAAATTGCCTAAATTCGTCCATAGGAAATACGCATCTCTAGTTAATATTAGAGAGGTTAAGATACACCGGTTCCGGTTTACGGGTATGGGTGATATACACGTACCCGTACCCGTAAACCGGGGAACGACTTGTAACTTAAGAAGTCCAAGATATTCCGGCGTGAGTTAACCTATCAGAGAATGGCAACTTTCGCTGTTGAGGTTCGCCATAGATTGTTGAAAACTTTGACAAGCATAAGTGCATTATTTATTTGGGTAAGATGTCGAAAATTTTTAATATTTAAATGGCCCACAAATAGTAAACAGAAAACACCCGTACCCGTTTGTATTTTACGTGTAGACCATGGTTTACCGCGGGGAAACGGGTAGAAATTACGGGTAAAAATGCCGACATCAGCAAAAATTGGTAAACAAAATGGCGATACTCATACCCGTAAAACGGAACCGGGGGAACTTAACCTCTCTATTGATGTCGGGACTCTACTGCAAATCGCCCAGCGAAAAATCACCAAAACCATGAAAAAAATATTTAAAAAAAGTTTATTTCCGACCTACCGATCCTAATTTTTTCACGATATGAAACCGGAAACACAGGTATTTTTTTAGGCCTAACCTTCAAAACTGCAGATTGAGACATCTGATATTTAATTTCTAATTACCTGAATGGTTCCATACACCATAAAAGCTGTCAAAATGAATAACAGCAATGAGATTGCTAGAGATGCAAAATTGTTTGCTATAAGAGAAAAACATATTACATTGTCAGTTACATTAGATTAGTAAAAGCTACAATCCTGGACAAAACATCTGCAACACTTCGAATTACTTGTCAAAATGTTGTAATATTATCGTAAATTTAGAAAACCTCCCCCTTTCCCCCACCATTCAATGTTGATTGCATTTGTAGAATATGGATAAAACGTCCAACATTGTTTTGGGGGGCGGAGGGGGGCAAACGAGTAAATTATTCCGGTCCAAAAGGTAAAAAAGGCCACAAAGGAATGTTTTAATACAGTGTCGCAGATGGTTTTGTCCAGGATTGTAGTTTGAATTTCAGCCTCAGTAAATATGTAAAATATGCTGTTAATTATTTTCTACAGTATTATATAATCATGCTATCATCCTGCAATATTATAGGCTGCTATAATCACAGAAGGAATTTTGCATAGGCAAATTCTAAGTTTTAAAGGTTTTGTAAGAAATGTTCACAGCATTTCCAAGTTAGGTCCCTCAAACATTTCTTACAAATCCTTCAAAAGTTAGAATTTACCTAAGGCCACTTCAAATTAGACTTTAGTTTCCCGTCCTCCGCCCGCATCTCCTAGAACTGGCCGCATGATTTGTCCAATTGTTGCTAACTTGTTTCCATAATTTGACCCTTATGACTAAAAATAATGAAAATCCACAGCTCTCGAATATTCTATCGTCCAAGAAATACATTTTTATAATATAATATGTAAAAATCGAAATAAAATTGTTGAAACTTGTTCGTTTTTACAACAGTAACCGCTGAGCTAGACACTTTCATTGCACGTTTTGACTTTCATTTCTGCATACAAAAAATCCAAAACATTCTGTACTGTAGAAACGTGGCTGAATGGATATTTAAAATGTGTATCTATTTCATGGAATAATGGGTCGTGACAGATTCTTTCAAACACCATAAAAAAAATAGATAATGGATAATGGTAAAGGACCGATAATGGATAATGGTAAAGAACCGCCCGGCCGCATGTAATTTGAAGTAAGGGCCGGACAGGAAACTAAAGTCTAATTTGGAGTGGCCTAATTTGCAAAATTGCTACTTTGAGACTTTGATACATAGTGCAAAGCAACATTAACTACCAGTACCTTTCATAATGTGACTGCTGGAAATGTAAGGACTTTCCTTGTCATATGTGCCTGGATGAACCAAAACTTGGCAAATCACAATGATGGCGGCAACTTGAAATACCTACACAAAGTCATGTTCATCAGGACAGTCATTTGGCATTAATTCGTAGATCTAAACTTCTCCCATGGAAGAAATTGGAAGGTAACACCCCCTCCTCCCTGTCTTTCAGACAATAGGGCCTACAAAATATACTACCTGTGGTTCCGGTTCCCGACCGACCCTATTTTTTTCTGCCGACCCTATTATTTTTTCAACGCAATTGACCGTGCGACCCTATTTTCTCCGGGTGGTTGCGGGCTGCTCCTACGGCGTGCCAAAATAGCGTCTGTTGTCACACTAATTATTGAACCAAAATACCTAAATTCGTCCATAGGAAATACGCATCTCTAGTTAATATTGATGTCGGAACTGTACTGAAAATCACCCAGCAAAAAAACGCCACAACCGTGAAAAAAATATTCAAAAAAAAAATTTCCGACCTACCGACCCTAATTTTTTAACAATATGAAACCGGAACCACAGGTATTTTTTAGGCATAGAGAGTCTACGCATGTATGACAGTGGCGTCAGGACGACGACACATTGACATTAATCCTATAGGATAAAATAAATTAATACTAAATGTCTAGCAGGGCTTTTAGACGTTGTCCAAGATCTGTTGACAATGCATATTTACACGTCTTGCATAGTATCCTAGCATTTCAAGCCATGACAGGTAGTTTTTCTAGCAGAGTTGATCAAAATTGCTCTGAAGGTTAAACGTGTTTTACTTCGTTTCAGAAGAGCGAAGCAAATAAAGGCTGGTCAACGACGAGCTATTTTAGGACATTGATTGTCGCTTTTTTGTTTTCAATGATTATTTTGACCGGGTAAATATTTTTAGGGCGGCAGTGATGTTTTTCGGCAGTGATGTTTTTCGACAGTGAGCATACTGTAATGATATTTAATTTAATGTTAAAATGCATAAATTGAAGTGTAAGCAAGGTAATCTTATTTCTTTGCCGGCCAATGAGACATTGTGTTTGACATGTGTTCAGAATTTCATTTTCACATATATTCAAGATGGACCCGGATACTCCAAAAGTACCGGTAATTAAATTACAAGAAAATTTTGTTTTTGCTCACGAACAGTTGTTAACATTTGAACGGGAGGATTTTATACTTGACCGGCGTAATTTAATTTCCCCCGTTCATCATGACTGTCAAGTCTATGTAATTATTTGCAGTGTTGCGGAACTAAATTCATATGGATTAATACAAGTAAACACAAAACAAGATTCCAATAATTTTTTTCAAACAGTTTGTTTGGCCGCCGTCCTGACGTTGCCATCTTGCATGCGTAAAGTCCTTAATTTACTGTTATTAGAAGTAGATTTCCATTGGACCTCAAAGGCATATGGGCAGATGGTCTAATGTAGTTAACTCATTAAAGCCAATATTTTCCCTTGACGAGTGAAATCGCCTGGCTTTAGACAAATACGGTATACCACACACATCAATGTTAACCTTTAGGTGCGTTTTTTATCGGAGAAGAAAGCGTCTGTGTGCAGTGTTGGACATTATTGGGTTTAGTCAGAATCACATGCAGTTGTAACAAACATTAAACCGACAGAGAGTTGGCAAGTCGCCAATTGTTACGGGACCATTTCGAGCTCTGAATTAACAAAATAAAGGTTCGATGAGTGTTCCAACAAAATACATGAGAAAAACAGAATACATGATAGTGTTGGGAAAGCATTAAGAACAGCTAACCACGGTTGTGTGACTGCCAACACTTGTGTACTTCACAAGTAAATCGTCTGTTGTTAGACAGAGTAAAATAAGAAAGTCGGTTGATTGACACTTGAAAATGCGGAGTTTTTTTTAATACATTTATTCAACTAGCCATGTTTTCCCCACTTTTTTAATGGAACACACCCAATCTTGAAAGCACGTAGAAGCTTTTGTTCAAAAAATCCATTTGAGGAAGTTCTTAAGTTTTCAAGAAGTATATCCTGTTTTTATGGAAATTTGAAAAAAAGAAAGCTGGCTCACACAGCTGAATCATGAATCACACAAAAGACTATAAATCCTATACAGTAAATAAGTTTTTAGAAATGTAAATAATCTTAAATATGTAATTATTATGTAATTTTAACTTATCCTCTTAATTTATGTAATACTGGTGTAATTTAACCTTTTTGGGTTACAAAGTCAGTAGTCATTAAATCAATTCAATTCAATTCAATTGTTATACCTGTTTTCATACTCCTTTGAAAAGTACTATTCTTACATAATATTGGGTAATATGGTACAGTTTTGCAATATTTTCTATTCGTTCTGTGACGCTTAAAAAAATACAGCAAACATCTGTTCGGCTAAGGACACACATTTATATATCCCCAAAAGATTGTTATTTTTCAAACAACATATACATAATTCCCCCTATTTCATTTCATTTGCTATACGAAAACCAAATCTATCGTGTCAGAATGACTACAATATATGCGATCGGTACAAAAATCGTCGTTTTAAACACAATCCGTTTGTGTACTTAAATTTAGACGTGATAAATTAGGGTGTTCGCAATACTTGAAAAATACATACACGTTTACAACACAGAAGAATGAGAAATATGGCTCTCGATTACAAACAAAACGGCGAAATTTCAGAATCTAATCTTTCAGAAACTATAACAGATGAATGAAAGAAGCTTTATATCAAAACACAAAGCACCACAACAAAACAGAACTCCCTCTAAAATACGCGCAGTCAACTATTTAATATTAAACACTCATTAAACGTACCAAATGTATAAGTCCGAGAATTATAACGCCAGTACGGATATCCAAACACATACAGCATCTATTCATGTACGAGTGTTCACACTCTTCGCACTTCTTTCGCTGTAGTTTTCCCATTTTCGAGGACAAGACGAACTCAAAATGTTGTCCTTTCTTCTCCTTGTGTTGATGAAAATGTGTGCCAACTGCCAAGACCGCAATGGAGTCTGGGATGACGTACCTGCGAGTGGGTGGGTCGCAAAATCCGGTGTGATCATGAGCTCTCCAGGGCAACGAAGAACTCCCCCGGCCCAGCACGTCCCCACGAGCGCGAGCGGTTATATCGGTTACGTGAATACGTGTCATTTATAGGAGGGGTTAGAGAGGGGGTTGGGGTGAGGATCGGGTTATCAATGTTTCTGCATGATGATATAGTATATACATTATAAAAATGAACAGACCCTGCAGCAGGCTCATGGATTTTGGTAGATAGATACAAATATTTTTTTATAGATCGATACAAATATTTTTTTATCTACATGAGCATCCCATGAGCACACTGGATTTCGGTTTGTATTATCAATTTCAGCGTGCTCATGAGCACATCGCAGGATTCTGATACATATATGAGCGTACGATAGGTTCAGTGCATTTTTAAGGTTTTCAGTGGTGGGGCAAAACTGCAAAAGGGCCCATTTTCCTTGTCCTCCCTGAAGATAGTATGTGATAGCCGAAGCTGTGAGCCGAGTATCGCAGGCACGAGTTAGTTAGGGGGCTCTGGGAGCATGCTCCCCCAGGAAATGTTTAAAATTTGGGTCTCTGAAATAGCATTTCCTGCATTCTGAGAATACATTTTAAAACAAATCTCAGCTTCTCAAAACAAAGCTTTAATGGTGAAATTTGTAATAAATTACATGCTAAACATTCAAACACAACATAAGTTTAAGTATGCTCACGAACAAATTTTGTTTTTTAAACTTCTTTTCAATGTTAAACTCATTTACTCAATACAGGTCCTAGGGCCCTGGCTTTGGGGCAATAGGACATTTCTTTCTTCAGTGGTGGGGCAGAGGAAGGAGCCTAGTGGGGGCAAATGCACCACTAGCAGTGTGACCAAATGTGGTAATTTTTTGTCATTTTTGATCGATTGTGGTAATTTGAAATTTGCGGTAATTACTACGGTAATTTTTTTCTAGACCTAAAATTTCCAGACTTAAATTTTACATATTGTGGTGAAAAACTGGGTTTTGGCCATGTTTTAACAGGAATTTGTCCGGAAATTTTTTTTTAGAAAATATGGTAAAATGGGTCTTTAAAATGGGGAAAATATGGTACCGTGGTAATTTTTGACCAAATATAGTAATTTATGCAGCCGGATGTAGTAATTGCCCCCCCTAAAATATACCACTTTTTAACTTTCTGTACCTTTACACTTTTTGACTTTCTGTGTATTAAAACTTGAATTTTCCTCGAGCATAATTCGAGCATAACAGACTGTTTCACGAGCATAACACATTGTTTTAACGAGCACTGCCTTCGGGCATGATAGCCATATTTTCGAGCGTAATTTACCCAAGCCTACCACTGATCTTCGCGGTTTTTAAGCCCATACACTGCTGTATGTCCTGTTTAACTGCTTTGTATGTATAATGTTGAAGAGTGTTCAAATCAATTGTCAGCTGACATTAACATTTTTCTTTAAAGGAGATTGGCAACAAAAATTGCTTCATCTATCTTATTGCTTCATCTGAAAGAGCATGAAAAAATAAGCCGATTGGCCGTTTAATGCTCTATTCTATCTCATCTAGTTCCGAAGTTATACGCAAAAATGTGAAAATATAAATTGCTGATTCAGCACAACGTGTGACGTCATTAGCTGGGTAAGTATGTTTATTGAATACTACACTGAAGCATAGCTCAGTTATTATGGGCTCAAATCAAATGAAATTTTGCATACTGATTGTACATGATGAGACGCATGGAAAAACACTTCTAATTTTGTTGCCAAGGTAACAATGTCGTTTCCAGGCCCCTTGCGCCAATTTTATGAAACAGCTTTATTCAAGGTACTGATAAAAATAAAATAATATCCGAAGTATGTGTATGATACCTATGCATGCCAAAAGTTTACTTGCATGATAATAATTCGAAAATGACATACACATAGATAAATGCAACTAGTTATTCAAAATCAGTGTAAGAGGCCTGGGAACGACTGTGTTGCCTTGACAACGAAATTAGAAGTATTTTTCCCATGCATCTCATCATGTACTATCTGTATGCAAAATTTCATTTGATTTGAGCCAATAATAAATCAGCTATGCTTTAGTTTACTATTCAATAAACATACTTACCCAGCTTATGACGTCACAGAATGTGCTGAATCAGCAATTTATATTTTGCACATTTTTGCGTATAACTTCGGAACCAGATGAGATAGAATAGAGCAGTAAACGGCCAATCGGCTTATTTTTTCATGCTCCTTCAGATGAAGCAATAAAATCAATAAAAATTTTTGTTGCCAATACCCTTTAAAATGTCATGCAGTTCCAAATTCCTTAAGGATCATCAATATTTCAAAAGATATGTGATTCAAAAGAAAAGTGACAAATACTTGCGTTAGTAAAAATATAAAACATCGTATTTGCGAAGGTATGAGACGTATGAGGCAAGTTTTATCATAGGAGGTCCAATAATTAGCGGTAATAGGCATAAAATGACTAACACATTTTAAAATTTCAATGTGTTACGGTCAAAATATTCTACCAACTGTTTTTGTAGCCATAGGTGTGAATTTAAACCATGCAATGGCTCGATCTCCGATTCGCAGTGGCGTATATAGTGACCTATACTACGCCACTACCAACACCTATGGCAGAATGGCTACAACTACAAGTGTATAAAATACTGCAACAACTTAATTAGGTTCCTAATATACAATGCATAATTAACATACAACTGCAGTAGCCCAGCATCTTGCTTCCTGCATTTCAGGAAGTTCTTGCCAGCTATAGCGATCAAATCGAAAACATTCTACAGACTTTAAGCACTTTCGTCTTTCATCCATGCCTCCCATGACAATCACAGTGTCTCTGACAACTGCAGCCACACATCCTCTCCTCTTATACTTCATGTCTGGCAACATACAACTCTTCTGCGTCTTGATGTTGTATAATAAAACTTTGTTTAATGCTTGATCGTTACTTTCAACACCACCCGCTATTATCACACTGTCATCACCCCACTTGACTGTGGCCATTTCAGAAACGGGGTAGGGGAGGGCTGCTAACTTCTTACATTCATTCTTAGTAATATCATACAACAAAACACTTGCAAGATTTGTACTGGAAAAACCATTGAACTTGCCTCCAAGAATCAGTATCTTGTCACCAAACTTTGCAACACCATGAAGATATCTTGCCTGTGGCATGGTAGCCAACAGTTTACTGGTATAAGGTGGAACAAGAGAAATCCCAGTAATACTACCAGAATATGCATATTTACTATCATCAAACCCTCCAATCATTATCAACCGTCCATTATAAACTACACTGCAGTGTCCATTCAATGCTCCAGGCAACTCAGCAAGAACATTTTCCCAAGTTATAGAATGATCAACATGAACAGCATTCAGTGATAGTTTTTCAATTGACTTGATTCCTCCCCTGTTACCATCACCTCCAATGACAAAAAATTGATTGTTGTGAACAACTGAAGATGTTCTGTCAAGACTTTCTTTCCTTGACTTTAGTGGTGTCCAAGTTGCGTTTAACAGACTGAACATTTCCACTGAATTTAGATATTCTCTCCCATTCCAACCTCCAGCGATAACGACCTTCAACTCTCTGTCCATTCCACCTTCTGCAGTCTCTTTCTTCATTTCTTCTGCCTGCACTTCATGCGATGTTTGTTGTGCCATTCTTTCCAGTTGTTTCGTAATTTCATTTAAACTTCTCTTCATTTCTACATTGTCCGCTTTAAGCTGACTAATGCCTTCTTCCTGCTTGTTAAGTTGTTCTTGAACCAGTTCAACTTTTGCGACCATATTCTTCTGATTTCTGTCCGTCTGTTCCTTATTTCTGTACAACTGTTCCGCAACTCCTTTCAACTTTTCATTCAACTTTTCATTCATTGCTGCCAAATTAACTTTCACTGTATCCATCTCTTGTCTGATTTCGTTGCAATTGTGGCACTTGACTCTGCGTAGTTCACACACAGCTGTTTCATGGTGTAGTAAATCTTGTTTATTCACCTCAAGTTGGCATCCTTCATTAGAGCAGACTGCTGGGGCAAACCCACAGTCAGTAACATGCCTTTCGAGATCTCCCAATTCAACAAACTGTCCGCAACCACGATCGAAGAATTGACAGCGGATCTTTAATTCGGAAAGTAAGTTGGTTACGGTCCGAGGTGCTTGGCGCAGTGATTCGACAGTGAGTGGTTCCATACACGATGGACATGTTTGAAAGTTCATGAGATGTATGGTGATACAAGCTCGACAGAACAAATGCTCATTATGTCGACACGAAACTGGATCCTTCAAAACATTCATACATATACCACAATGGAAAGTTTGGCTGACGGGATGTTGAAATAGTTCATCTTCCCAACCAGTGTCGTATGACGCCATTTTCGGTTTAGATCACTGTTGAATCAATATCTTGAAAAATAGACATATTAAAGAGAAAATATGTTAGAACACTTAGATGTCGTTTTGAAATAAATGACGAAACGCTATTATTTAAAATTCTTATATTATTGACCGAGACAGCACTGTGTATAGCCGTTCTGCATCAACAAATACGAGTTTAAAGCCAGCATAAAATTAAAAATTAAAATGCCCACAAAATGACATTTATTAACTCTCGCGAAACTTCTATTGACTATTTCTCTTCTGGTCTCTTCAGATATTCTTTGATATTATGTTTACAGGCTACAGCCGACTTTGAATTGGCATTCGGCGCTGGCCCTGTGTTTCGATATGCTTATGTAAACTCACTTGAATATATTTCATTTCATCTTACCTTGGCTTTACTTCATTCAGGAACTACATTTTGTCGTGTAGTTTATTTACATCGTTATAATGTTCAAAACACTGTGCTTTAATATGAGAGCGCAGTCAAAATTAATCCTTTGAAATAAAATGTAAGGTAAGGTAAGGTCACTGCCACTGGTTTCAGTTTAAGTTGAATACACCCGATAAATTCCTGAATATTGAATTACAGTGAAATTGCACAACTGCTTGTGTCTTGTGACTAAAGTTCACGACTCCATACGGTTGAGTTGTCAAACCTGATGCAGATCCAACATTTTCCCCCATTAGTCAATTAACATTAATCTCATTCTTCACTGTGCACAAATATTTTGAAGTTTTGCGTATAAAGGCGGCTGTCCAGTGATTCAGTGAAGCGTTTTTGTCTTTTTGACACGTAAATCTTTTAAATCTTTTAAAGTACAGTCTGTACAGACTACCTCAACAAGTACGCTTTAAGTCATACACAAAACTAAATACTGGGCTTTTGTTCCGTTTTACTATCTCACTCGTCCTGTCGTCCATGGTATTAAAAAATGGTTAACGACTTGTAACAAGCTTGATGGCATTATCAGACTTCTTAGAAGGTTGTTCTAACAAGTCTGATACAGTAATAATGCGAGAATGTTACAAGGTTGACGACACAAGCTTGTAACAGTATTGTTCTATCATGACTGTATCGAAGTTGTTGGAACAACCTTGCAACAAATCTGATAACTGATCAACAAGTTTGTTACAACTGTTAACAGCTTTTTCCAAACTTGTTGACAACTTGGGACAAGCAGTGCGAACACAACTTGTTGACAGACTTGCTAAAAGATGTCAGATTTTTACGCGTGTACCGGGCACTGATGATCAGTGGTACCGGGGTATCCCCGTAGCGCAAAGTTACAGGTATGCGCATTGCAGTGGACAACGCCTGACCGCCAAAGTATAATAGAGACCTTACGATTTTAGGACGGCAACGCGACGGCAACGGCTACCAATACAATAGATCATTGAAAAGAATTGAGTGATTACAATATATGAATAATTTAGACTTGTCCTCGCTCTGTTTACAACGTCAAATACTCAAATCACAGATTTTCACGTCTTGATACAACGGCTGCATTCCAAACCGCAACAAGTGCAACTTCAAACTGGGTTTAGCAGAACTTTTCCCAACCATCAAATCCATGTCTTCATTACTTCAACTTCTAAAACTGTATTAAATTCATACGATTGATGTATACGACGAACTACCTTTACTACCATTTATTTGAAGGAGTTTGTTTTGGCCGTCGTCGTCGCGTTGCCGTCCTAAAATCGTAAGGTCTCTACTATTAAGGTGGCTACGCACTGTTCGCCAGAACAATGAAGTTAATTAAAGACGCTCTACTCTTTTAAACTTTATTACTCAACCGTATATAACAAAGTAATTTTATGTTATGCTCTTTAATTAATAGAATTCTAAAAACTCCATATCTTTGCTGTCGTATGAATTTGACTTCTATATGTGCAAAAGTAATTAATGAATAGTGCGATGAGTATTATAATGGGAAACGGGTGGCGAGCGGAGCCGATTGGCCGAAGAGTCAATTGAAGTATATAAGCCCCAAATACACACGTCAAAATCTCACAACGTGTCAACAAGATGTGTTCGCAACAGGCTTGTAGCAAGCTTGTCAACAAGTTGTAACAATGCTGTTATTTTATCAAGTTGCTACAAGGTTGTCACTCACAACTTGTTGACAAATTGTTGAATTGCAGGACGATAACAAGTTGTTGGAACAACTTGTAACAAGTCTGAGCTCAACATGCTTTTAGCGGTTCGTCAACAAGCTGGGAACAAGCAGTGCGAACACATCCTGTTCACAAGTCGTTGGAACAGCATTGCTACAAGTCTGGTGCAGGTTTGTTACAACTTGTGCGTTTTTACGTGTGTACCTCGCGTTTTTTATTAAATGCGGAGGGCCTGACCTGGATCTCGGGATTCTGAGAATCATTTGCCCAACCCTGGCCCAACTTCGCATGCAAGGCTCTCTACTCCCGCTTCCCTCCCAAAGCGTGTTTAGAGAGGCTGGCTTGCGTGGTTGACATTTAGCTTGGCAAGATAATCGAAGAACAGTTTAAATTCTCCACACACACGATAGGGAAAGATTAGTTCGCTGACTTCACAGTGACATTTCGTCAAAACGTTTTTCTTCAAGATTGGTTTAGAAACAAACTTGGAGTAGGGTTAGGTTAGAATTTAGGGTTAGAGTTGGTGTTTGGAATAGGGTTAGTGTTAGTAAAACCGTTGCTTTGTTACGTTTTGTCACTCTGAGGCCAGCGAAATAACCTCTTACCACAGGTTATGGGATGAATCTTAAGCAATCGTTATATCATACTTCCCTTATATCGGTCATTTGAGACATGAAACATAAATACAGTCAAGTATAAGTATACTACTTTGTTGTTGCATATACATAATCACGTAATGTACGGTAAAATTTTCCTGTTGATGTTCCAAATAAAAGTACCCAAATGAGCTTCATTAATCGGGGTTAAGGACTCAAGCTCTTAATATTCCTCTGCAGTGAAACAAACTAAATTTGGACCAACGAGCTAAATATATCTTCGCCATTGAAAATCGCGTTTATAAAGGCGGTGTGACACGGAGCGATTGTCAATGACGATTTATAGTGCAAATGTTACACGACATTTGATTGGTTCGATAATAACGCGTCAGCCACTCATCTATGGAGTCAATATCAGCTGCTACACAATTTAAATTGTAAGATAACTCGCAAACCCTGTTTTGTGAATTGGGTATCAGGCTCTATATAGACTTGCTCCAAGTCTCTCTTTCATTGTCATATAGTATCGATTCACTATAGTGTACATTACATGACGTAGTACGGAGGGGCGGAGCGAGAAAGAGAGACTTGTCAACTTCGGAAAATCTCGGTTCAAAACTGAACCGAAAATGCAAGACTCGCTTTAATTGTTTTCTGTCAGTGTTTATATGTATTGATCTAGCACAGTGTAAATAACATGAGTTCCATTATAGTAAATAATACAGAAAGAAATTGAAGGAAAACAATTAAAACAAGTCTTGCAATTTCGGTTCAGTTTTGAACTGAGATTTTCCGAAGTTGACAAGTCTCTCTTTCTCGCTCCCCTCCTCCGTGCTACGTCATGTAATGTACACTATAGTGGATCGATACTATATGACAATGAAAGAGAGACTTGGAGTCTAGGCTCTATATGGTCAGGCTATTTTCCTTTATTAAATGCAGGTGGAGGAGCCTTCATGCCCAAGTCTGGACAGTTTAACTACCCATTATTACTTACATGACCAGCAGCCTCTAGTTTTACAGTTTTAGTAAACCTATTATAATTCTATGATCTACAAAATTTTTGAGGTATAATAAAATATAGCCGGCCTCAAAAAGTCCATAGTTTAAACAATCTCAATTCTGTTAAAATGTATCCTTGTTGATTAGTGTGATTAACGTTAACGACGGATATTTACAAATAATTAATGTTCAATTTGAAGGTCATCGGTTCCTGCCGATACAAGTATGAAACTTCCCTCGGGTTAAACTCGGGTCATCATCGGTATCGAAGTATAGCATGGTGCCCGCTGTTCTTAATTTCAGCGGAATGTCAAGCTTGAGCGGGATCAGATGTTGACATGACAAGTGCAGTTATAGTCACGGTCTGTGAAATCTGAAAAAATACGAAATGAAACAAAATATTGATTTGCAAGAATGTTGATGACACGAACCATTCACACCCTAGGGAGAACAGTTTAGAACTGATAGAGCTATCCAGTATAAATAAAGTTAGTTTAGTTTAGGTTTCCTCCTGTAGTAACACTGGATCAATAAGAGATGATCGTTACTGGACCTCCAGGAAGAACAGTTTAGAATTGATAGAACTATCCAGTATAAATAAAGTTAGTTTAGTTTAGGTTTCCTCCTGTAGTAACACTGGATCAATAAGAGATGATCGTTACTGGACCTCTAGGAAGAACAGTTTAGAATTGATAGAACTATCCAGTATAAATAAAGTTAGTTTAGTTTAGGTTTCCTCCTGTAGTAACACTGGATCAATTTAAATGATGATCCTTACTGGACCTCTAGGAAGAACAGTTTAGAACTGATACAGATATCCAGTATAAATAAAGTTAGTTTAGTTTAGGTTTCCTCCTGTAGTAACACTGGATCAATAAGAGATGATCGTTACTGGACCTCTAGGAAGAACAGTTTAGAATTGATAGAACTATCCAGTATAAATAAAGTTAGTTTAGTTTAGGTTTCCTCCTGTAGTAACACTGGACCAATTTAAATGATGATCCTTACTGGACCTCTAGGAAGAACAGTTTAGAACTGACAAAGCTCTCCAGTATAAATAAAGTTAGTTTAGTTTAGGTCTCTTCCTGTAGTAACACTGGATCAATAAGAGATAACTCTTACTGGATCTCTAGGGAGAACAGTTTAGAACTGATAGAGCTATCCAGTATAAATGCTCTGCCAGTTCTGGTGCCGAGTTGTGTTGGTCATGTGCGCCGCCCGCCTATCAACTTGCTTGACTACTGCAAAGTCTTGCTTGACTACTGTATTTGAATTGTAATTGTTGTTCACAGTTCGCATATATCATCATGTTATTACTCAAATTACTGTATCTCATTTTGTCTCTAATATTGTTTTTGCTTTATCGTGAAAAATAGCACCCCCCCCCCCCCCCCCCCCCCCCCCCCCCC